GGTGGTTTTGTTAAAAAAGTTAAAAAGGTGGTTTTTGTTAAGAAATGTGAGCTACTGACAGAACCGTGTTTATTAAAATTACTTTTCCTTTACATTTGATATAAAATAATCAAGTGGATTTGTAATACGAAAAGTGCGGTTTATCCTGGAATGTTCAAAATCAGTGTAACGGTTAAAATAAAAAAGTACATCTATATATCTCATGTGCACAAAATGTAAATATTAATACAAAAATTATAAAATTATCTGAATGTGATATATAAAGAGTGGGCCATATATACAAATAATCTTCAAGCTATTAATTTCTTAACACAGATTCTAATATATATATTTGACCTGCATGAATACCAAACTTTTATTGCAAGGTCTCCACAACATCCAAGACTTCAACTTTTGATCTTTTCAGAGCTTTCTTTTTATTGTTATCATTATTACTTCCGGCGTTCTCCCGATCTTGATCCCGATCTTTTCTTCGTCGTTTGACACATCCTTTACTTATGGATACATTTACAGATTTTGAGGTCTTATTAGCAAGGCCCGTTAATACTTTTTGGGTTTTATCTAAACCTGTGTGTTCCTCTACCAATCCAGCCCATTCGTCCACATCAGCGAGAATCTGATAATCGAACACGGTATTCCATTCTTTGCCAACACCTGAAAGATTGACCAGAACAACTTTTCCACCATTATGATGCACTGATTTCGCGAGTTGCCTTATGAGGTTCTTGACTCCATGTACCTTTAGACTTGTTCCCGCGATTAATAAGTAATCTATTTTTTTCCGTAGGTCGTTTTTCACGCAGTTTTGTATATAAGCTCCTCTTGTCGTGTCATCAATGTCATTGTATAATGTTATGTTGGGTTGCAAGTCCCCGATTCGGTGTTTTCTCTTGCCGGAAGCTTGTCTGGTTGCCTCTGAGGATTGATGATATTTATATTAAAAATGATCATCTTGATGAGTAATAGTACATTATTCTTACCTCTCTGTTGACATTCATTACATTGTGGAGGGAAGCCTTTCTTGAAAACTTCTGCGTGCATCTCGGTGAATTGTACCGTAAGTTTGCACATGTCACAATACACTTCACTCATTGTACCGTGAAGTTGAACTGCATCGAGGTTAACCGCTGCCTCCAGATTATCAATATTCTGTGTATAGTAGTGTATAATTTTCTTTTGATCGGCTAGTCGTTTAAAGAACCGATGAGCCATGGTGGGCACAGCGGCAGTAGTTAACGAGTATAGTTCACCCATGAATGTGTAAAACATCTTTCTAATTTTCTCATTGTTCAGGTAACTTTTATCAAAAAGTTGTTGGCCAGTTACTTTTTCGTTGGGGAATTTATCCTTTATCATTTCGTATAGGCCTCCTTTGGATCGGAAATCCTATCATATATAGTTTCGGGATCAGGAATCCAATTCTTCGTGTGAAAAAAGTCTATTTCTTACCGGTATTCCTGAGCTTGTTGAAATTCCAGCACCGGTTACTACGACCATTTTCTTTGCACGCGCAATTTGCCAAGATATTTCTTCTACATTCCTAGCATTTTCTCGAATTTTTAACACTTGCATCGCAAGCTTTGGATATTTAGAAGATTTAGTGATAAAACTCAACGAAAGACTACATTTGCTAAATTCATAACGCGAAAAATAGGCTAAAATACTTTTTTGAGTAAAAAATTAATGGCCCGTTAGGCTTATTCAATATTTTATATCGGAAGGAGTGCACGTGTAATCGTTATCTCGGTTTTGTGAATGCTATAACTATTCTTTGACTTCCAAGGTGAAGATTTATGCCACAGAAATGTGATTTATTACGCGACGCGTTTTTCAAATAAAGTTATCAAGACCAAAAAGTCGCACAAAACCGGATCTGGCAAGTTATTTGTAGGTCAATGAAAAATTATAACTGCGCATAAAAAAACTTATTGCATCGGTCTAACTACAACTTAGACAACTGAAAATTTATAATGCTTCTTCAAGCTCCATTCGATATTGCAATTAAAATTTTTGATCTTCTTTCGCCAAAAGACTTGGCCGCCTTATCACAAACCAGCAAAACATATCATTCAATCGTTCAGAAGTATGGCTGGAAACATTACTATAAGGAACAAAATTGGAATCTTTTAAAAAATCCTCAAGACACAAAGGACGACGACAATGAACAAGACTGGCAAGCTAAGGTCGCATTTGGAGTGACCACCCACAAAAACTGGGCACGAAAAGAGTTTTCTACGACCATCATCTCAAGTCAACGTCAATCGTATTTACCAACTCTAAGCTTTGATCACGAAAAACTTGTGTGTAGCGTTGGCAACACGCTGGATATCTTTGACTTTGCACAGAGTAGCAACAGAAGGAAGAAGAATGGTCAACCACAAAAGATCAATAAATTGAAATCGTTTATCGCTCATCATCTTGATATAACAGATATTGCTTTGTGTTCTGATTATAACGAATTGTTTACTTGTTCTATGGATCATACCATTAAACGCTGGTTCTTGGATCAATCGATCACTTCTCAGATTCCTCTTGCACAGGTTTATTATGGTCATGATGCACCTGTCCATTCGACATTTCAGTTTCCATATGATTCGAGCACATTGTTTTCCGTGAGTTTTGATGGGAAATTGTGTGTGTGGAATACTGATACTGCTGAGATGTGTTATAGCACTCAAGTCCCTGGAATACCAAGAGCTATGCGTGGTTTATCTAATGGTTTGATCGGGGTTGGAAATAAAAGCACTGAACATTTGACCCTGTATAAAGTGACTCCAAATGAATTAGTACGGGTTACTAGTGTAAAAGGACATAAGAGCACAGTATACGCTCTAAAGTCGACAGATCTCTTTCCACATACTTTCCTTTCTGGCTGTTATGATAGGTATTATTTTATTTGGTAGTTAATTAAACGTGGGATTTTGAATTAATCTGCTCATGTTCATTTATACAGTATTTCGCGTCTTTATGATCTTCGAAACAATTCATGTGTTGCATCGTTTAAAGATCCTTTTGACACTAATCCAGGTAAAAAATAAATAACGATGATTTATTTTTATATACTTTTTTCTAACTTTAATATTTCTTAGTGTTCTCGGTCGACTATGATCGATACCGAGTAGCCTCTGGTAGCTCAATGCATGGATTGATTCGTTTATGGGACATGAGATACTATAAATCTTCTAATGATTATTCTGGAACTCTAAAAAAAGGGGCAGTCAGAGATGGATGGTCAATATTTTTAGGAAAATCGCAGAATTCACCCGTTTACTCGTTACAAATGTCACATTCAAGATTGGTTGCTGCTTTGGCTAATCAAACATGGATGTTAGATTTTGGCGATGGCGGTAGTGGACTTTCGAGCACAGATTCTCCTCATTCCAATTTTCATCGGTCACGATACCGATCATCTGGTGAAAGGAGATCATACAATGGTGGAGTTAATGCACCACTGTATTATTTGCATCAAGAATGGAACAAAATATATGAAGCATCGTCGTAGTTTGTTTGTTTTTTCTTTATTTCTACTATATGTAATTATTTATTATTTCTTATTATCTATCATAATTTGATGGTAATAGTAACATCAATTAATATTATTGACTCGACGACTATCGATATACTAAATGATATTTTTAACTAACTAGAGCAAGATCACCCCAAGATTTTCTACGTGAATTACTTATTTACGTGAGCACCCGGAAAATTTTAATTAAATTTAAAGGTTGATTTTAAAGTCTGGTCAGGATAAGGATTAGAGTTAGAGTCAAGATTGTATATAAAATTGCCTTCCCAATATTTTTGAAACATATCGATATCTTATTTCTTGTAACGGATTTGTTTTGCCGGGTTAATAAAAAATTTGCACATTTTTATTGGTCTGCAGATCAAAAATTTGCGCATCCTTATTGGGCATTTACTAATTTTCCCCAAGTTTTGATTAGATACAAGTAATTTCTATTACTGATTGGTTGACTGCACACCGGGTCTTCTAAATCAACCAATAAAGATACATAAATTTTTGATCAACCTGACAAAACAAATCCGATACAAGAAAATTAAAAAGACGAATAATGTGAAAAATACAGATAAATCTGGCTTGAAGCACTAATAAAAAATGTCGAAGATAATTTTACATATAATTTTTTTTATTTTAATCCTAACCCTTAATTCTAATGCTAAAACTAATCTTTAATATTTTCAACCAATTAAACTTGAAAGGAAATTAGTAAATTCCTTTATTGATTGCACAAAGTGATCTATATAACTAAGCCAATTTACTACAAACTTTTAAAATATAATAGTAATGATATAAATTATATTATAAATTCTAATATAATTTACACTGTTTCTATTGCACTTAGCCTATATATTATAAATTTTAATTCAATAATTACATGATTTATAATTAAAAATTATATTAATTTTTAATATATTTATATTGAGAAAATCGGGTAATATATAAAGTTAATCATGTGTTAAATATCAAATTTTGATAAAATTATAATTTAAAAATAATATTAATTAATTAAATTAGATTACATGTTAAAAAATTATATATGTAATTTGTTTTAATTTTGAATTAATTATATAAAAATATTCAATTTTAAATGCTTATAATTTTTTATATATGATTTTTTAAAAAGAATAATATTATTGATTTAATTTTTCTAAATTTCATTTTTATAAATATTGTAAGATTTTAAAAATAATTTATTATATTATTAAGTTAAAATTTTTTATATTATATTAATTTAAATATATTTAATTAGATTTAGATTGAATTTTAATCAATTAAATTAGATAAATTGCAAATTTACAATAAAAATTACAATTTAATTAGCTAAAATTTGTTTTCATATAATCAATAATTAGTAAGATATTGCTACCGTTTCTAGTTCTTACGTATGAGAATATTTAAAAATGGTTAACAACGACTGTGTTCACGGCAGATTTTAAATAAGAGAGAAATATAAATGACAAAAGTGGATGGTTGACAATAAATTAACAAGAATACGAGTATAAGATGAATATTTGAATGTATTTAAATAATAGAACAATACTAAAACTAAATATACGCTATTAATCCAAGTTAGAAAGTGTGTTGACAAGATAAAAGACAATATGACGACAAAGGAAAAACAACAAAAGTAAACAAAGATAAAACAAAAGAAAACAA